ACAAAGGGTATATAACAAAGTATTGAGAAACTTTGTTATTGACCAAATACTTATTTTCCACCATAATTTGCAAATAAATTCATAAAAAATCCTACAATGTGATTTTCTGGAAAAAAAATTCTCATTTTGTCTGTCCATAGTTTGACGTGTACCTATAATGAAAATTACAGGCCTCTCTCATCTTTTTAAGTGGGAGAACTTGCACAATTGGTGGCTGACTAAATACTTTTTTTCCCCACTGTATAACGGAGGGAGGAGTGGAACAGCCGTCACCACACACCGTCAGCGCAGGCATTTTTTAAAAGGGGGGGGAGGGGAAAAGCCGTCCCACACAAAACCCTCAGCCGGGGGTTTATAACGGGGGGAATTGAACGCCCCTTTACCACCACTGTCAGCGCAACAGTTTTTAACGGAGGGGGGAGGGGGAAACCCGCCCCCACACACCCCAGCACGGCATTATAACGGGGGGGAGGGGAAAAGCCGTCACCACACACCGTCCCACGGGATTTTTAAAGGAGGGGGGATGGAACACCGTCACCACACACCTCACAAAAGCTTATACGGAGGGGAGTGGAAAGCTGTCACCCACACCTCAGCACAGGGAGTTTTAAAGGGGGGGAGTAGAACACTTCACCACACAAACCCCACGCAACATTTAGGAGGGAGGAGTGGAACAGCCGTCACCACACAAAACCCCCACAGACATTTTTAAAAAGGGGGAGGGGTGGAACCCTCACCACACCCGTCACAAAAACGTTTAAAAGGGGGGGGATGGAACGCTCCCCACACCCCCACAGCAGTTATAACGAGGGGGGAGTGAACACCGTCACACACACCGTCACACAGACAGTTATAACGAGGGAAGTGGAACGCGTCCCACACACCGTCGCACAGACGTTTTAAACGGAGGGGATGGAACACCTTCACCACACCCGTCACACAGAGTTATAACGAGGGGGAGTGAACGCCTCACCAACCCGTCCGCAGCAATAATGGGGGGAGGATGGAACGCCGCACCCACACCTCACCAGGCATTAAACGGGGGGAGGAGTGGAAAAGCCGTCACCACACCCGTCAGCACGAGTTAAAAGGAGGAGGGGTGGAACGCCGCACCACACACCCTCAGCACAGGCATTTAAACGGAGGGGGGGGTGGAACGCCGTCACCAAACACCGTCACACGACGTTAAACGGGGGGGGTGGGAAAACCCGTCACCACACACCCCACACAGGCTATAACGGGGAGGAGGGAAAAACTGTCACCCCACCCGTCAGCGCAAAAAATTTAAAGGGGGGGGTGAAACCGCCAACCCCACCCGCAGCACAACAGTTTTAAAGGGGGGAGGATGGAACACCGTCACCAAAACACCGCACCAGACAATAACGGAGGGAGGGGGGGAAAAAGCCTCCCACACACCGTCCACAGACATTATAAAGGAGGGGGTGGGGAAAAGCCCCTCACCACACACCGTCCAAACATTTTTACGGAGGGAGGATGGAACACCGCACCACACACCTCCACAGACATTTAAAGGGGGGAGGGGTGGGAAAAGCCTCCACACACCCTCAGCAAGGCTTATAACGGAGGGGAGGGGAACACCTCCCACACCCGTCACGCAGGGAAAAATAATGGAGGGGGGAGTGGAACCCTCACCCCACCCGTCACGCAGCAGTTTAACGGAAGAGTGGGAAAAGCCGTCCCACACCCGTCAGCCGGGAGTTATAAAGGGGGGAGGGGTGGAACAGCCTCCACCACACACCGTCAGCACGGCTTATAAGGAAGGAGATGGAACCCTCACCCACACCGTCCACAGGGGGTTAAAAGGAGGGGGGTGGAACAGCCCTCACCCCACCTCACACACATTATAACGAGGGAGATGAACGCCGCACCACACACGTCAGCACAGGCTTTTTAAAAAGGGGGGAGGATGGAACACCCCTCCCCACCCCGTCAGCACAGACATTATACGGGGAGGGGTGAACACCGTCACCCCCCACCCCTAGCACGGCATTAAACGGAGGGAGGGTGCACCGTCCCCACAACCGCAGCCAGGGGTTATAACGGGGGGAGGGGTGGAAAACCCCCTTCACCAAACACCGTCACATTATAACGGGGAGATGGGCGCCGTCACCACCAAACCCCACACGGCGTTATAACGGAGGGAGGAGGGAACGCCATCACCCACACCCCTCACACAGGGATTATACGAGGGAGGGGGGAACACCGTCACCCCCCCACCTCACACAGACGTTATAACGGGGGAGGAGTGGAACGCCTTTACCCCCACCCCAGCACGGCATTTAACGGAGGAGGATGGGAAAAGCCGCACCACAACCGTCAGCGCGGCAGTTATAAAAGGAGGGAGGATGGGAAAAAAAGCCTCACCAACCCTCAGCCAGTTATAAAGAGGGGGGATGGAAAACCGTCACCACACACCGTCACGAACATTTAACGAGGGGATGGAACGCCCACCCCCCACACCGTCACGCAGGCAGTTAAACGAGGGGGGGAGTGGGGAACAGCCGTCCCACCCCCCGGCCCCCGGCATTTTTAACGGGGGGAAGAGTTTAACACCGTCACCACCCCCCCGCACACAGGCAGTTTTAACGGAGGGAGGATGGAACACCCTCACCACACATTTTTCAGGCAGGGATTATAAACGGGGGGAGGGAAAGGGTTTTAAAAGCCGGGGGGGGGGCCCCCCCACACACCGTCAGGGGACAAAACAGGG